ACGAAGTCTAGTCGAAGTTTGAAGTTGTAAAGAACAAAGAGAATCTTGAATCGATTTAAGAGTCACAGGAGAGAACGGTAACAAGATGCAGTGCAGTACTTACCATGCAGCCCCCCAAAATGCAAACGCTCTAATAGACTCTCCACCTTAATCTTGATCCTTACTACACCTTTTTTATCCACTCCCGTCCCTAGTGAACTCCTTCTCTAAAAATTCCCAGTCTACAACTTTCAGTTTCTTTCATAAGGCACCCTTATTAATAACTCCACTTCCTTCCCCTTCCCCGCTCTTTATCAAAACATTAGTATTACGGCCTTCTTGCAATTCCTTTGTGGGGCTAAGTTGCTTAACGGTTCAACATACGCTTTTTTTCAAACGCCTCTACAGGTTTCAGTGTGAGCCTAGTAGGTTGCCAACAAAACTTGTGCATTTTGTTTCGGGTATTTATTAAAGCTAGACAAAAACAAAATTATCGAAAGTGATTGGTTATCAACAGCACAAATCGAGCATCAATAGGACAGCGTACGCGTCATGCTTGTTCAGTAGTTCAGTTCAGTAGCGCAGTTGACACGTCATGCCTGTGTACATGGACAGTACGCGTTGTGTGCGTGTGGTGTTTTCGCGCATTTTGCCGAGTTAACTGTTTTTTTTTTTCGGAAAACATATAATCGATGTCCACTTTCTTTCGCAAAATTTTGACATAGTGTTGATTAACTGGTAATAGGACTTCGCGTCGACCAATTCTGTCTCTGTAATCATACGAGCGATTAAAAAAATCGGACTTCTGGTTCGTAGTCGTCCTATTTTGTTATCACTCGTATGAGTACAAACCGAATTGGACTCCACTCAGTCCTATTACCATTATATGCTACTGCACATAGTACTGTAGAGCGTAAGTTCTCCTCTTTCAAAAGCCTATCTTATAGGGGCCTTGAAGACTGATAGGACCTGTACTCATCCCCCTTTCCCTTCAGTGTTTTATTTGAGCGTTGCTGTCATTCTCTAAGAGCTGATTGCCACGCCGAAAACCAACCAAAACGGAACTAAAAGTAGACCAAGGCAGTCTTATTAACTTACCTTCTGCACCAAACCAAGCATTGAAACCTCTTCGGCCACCATATCTTGATTTAAAGCGTACCCACATTTCATTACCAGGGGATGTGACGTTGCTTGGTTTCTGGTCTCCACAGAACACCACGGAGTCCTTTCTATTTCTAACAACGTTTAAGTAAGTAAATCTCTGGCGTCGGGTGCTGACCATTACATACTCTTCCCGGCATGCTTGTGTCCTGGTTACGTCAAAATGGGCATCAAAATGAAGATAGATCCTGTAACCCTTCTTTACAATAATACGCCATATGCAGGTTTGAAGAGGACTATAGCTCTTTGGGTAGCCAGGGGATTTTATTACACCAGAATGGCCGGTGATTTGATAAATTCGACGTTGACATTTTCCTTAAGATAGAACAAACGTTTTAGAACGGCGCACAACTACAAGAATAACTCTAGAGTACACTTGGTTCAGAGCCCAAAAGAATACGTTTTAGGTAAATCTGTTAAAAAATTCTTTTTTTGCTTTCCTAAGCCTGACACGGTATCCGTTTGTGGTTTGTCGTGCGTTTGTTCCGTCGTTCCTTTGTTCGGTAGTCGATCGCGATTTCGATTGGGGTCAGTTCAATTGTCTCTTTGAATTGACTAGGTTTGGCAGTCGAAAATAACTTACAATCAGCCAATAAAACACGATGAAACCTACCGTAATCGAACCCTCTGTCGTTTCAACGCGACTCCTCCGTAAACTCGAAAAAGGTCGTTTGGGTTCGAATGTTCTATTGACTGAGACTGAGGCAGCGTTCAAAATCGGCAGGTTCACTAAGTTTCCCGAGTCTTGAAACACCACGAAACGAGTAATAAGCCTTATCATTTTCGATTTTTTTTTATATACAACACCATCTCAGTAAATGTATCGGACAAGAACGAACTGACTGAGTAAGATTGGTTCGACTAAATTCGGTACTGAATCGAACTCAACCACCAAAACCTTGGAGTTCCACATTGTCCGGCTTTGATTGTCTGACCAATGGCTCAGAAATCAAAGGGTTGTTTGATTGGTTATGGCAAGATCTTTCTATTTAATTAATCGATTCATTTTACAAAGAAACAATCATGCAAGACACCACACAAATAGTTGATTGTGAGATGTGGCCCTCCTCGCCCGCGTCTGGTGAGGGGAACTATCAATCTTTTTATATAATATTTTGAAGCACTTTATCTTGTTTTCTAGCTTGTGTAAGACTCTTGGAGAGTGGGATCAATCAAATGAGCGCGCGCCCGATGAACGGCAAGTGCTCTTTGCCTCTCGTTCGTGCATTCGTTCGTTCTTCCGTGTGTACTTCACTCATTTGTTCTTCTGATCCCAATTCGTATTTACCCTTTTTTTCTACTTTTACACGAGTCAGACTAGCTTTCCAGATCAGGTCTAGCTAAAGACATTGCCAAGAATTGATTTATCGCCCACCATCTCTATCCACCAACCTTACAAAAAAGGGTGATTTATTAGTGAATTTTTGGTCTCACTCCCGCTTTGTGTGCATAGTTCGTGATCCAGAGTAAACAATGAGATTCCCTGTATTATGAGCACGAGAAAAATATTTTTGAATGATGAAATATCCCGTCAAGTAGGTGTAATTATTTTTCACACGCCGCACACCGGCTGAAGAGGTCAGGGAATTAAACTCGCACCATTTGAATAATGGAAATCTCATATGTTATTCCCCCCCAAAAAAACAATTTTAGGTTGATAATGTCTTCGCTGAAAGTCATTTGATACCTAACCTAACCTTTGTCATCGTCAAAGCATAACACTGGTGTTTCAGAAAAAGAAGGGTCACCTGCTGATTGGAATATTTCCTCACGGAGTTATTTTCTTGGATTCCTTCGAAGCATGCTCACTGCTCTTAGGTTTACAAAGCTGAACTTTCTTTGATGCGGAATGATCCAGTAAACAAACCTCTTGAGTGCTCAACATGGCCGTATTTGTGTAATGCGGTATCCCGGCATGAAAACCCAGGCAGAGATAATGTTTTTGGAAGGCGCTCACCGGACGAGTCACCCCGAAAGCACTGAAAAATATCGAACTTACCTGGGGAAGAGCCTGACGGATCTTCTGTGACTGCTGCACTAAGCAAGTATGTTCTGTGATACCAAGCAAATAACACCGAGTTAGTGATCGCTCTAATGTACGTCTAATGTGCGTCTTTCGTCTATCTTGCTAAAGCTAGATTGTAGGCACGGCTTACCTTTAAGTGAATACGATTACATTAATACCTTGGAGGTTACGATACAAAAAGAAATGGTACTTACAATCCAATGATAACCTCAAGAAAACCCTTCATTCTGTGTTTGGTCTGTTTTTAGTTGACGTAATCTCAAGTTTGCCGTGAATTTTGTGTATTGGTCCACCACAAGCCCCATGGGAGATGAGCAAACAATGTTTGGCCCTTTGTGAATGGCTGTTGGCTTAATAAGGGGAAGTGCGTAAAACCACAGGCAGACAAATTGAAATGTCTACACGAAATGTGTTATGATCTCAGCGGAAGTAAGATCGCTTGAAACGATCAATGAGGTTAAAAACGGACTAGTGGGACCCCCCATGGTTCAAAATTAAACTTGGGGTATAAAAATCTATGTACGAGAGAAGTACGAGAAGCCGTAGTATTTTGTTTTAGAGCAATGAGCTCACTTGTATTCATTTGCCTGCGTTGTATTGTGAGAAAAGTGTGATAACAATTTTGCATGCAATTTCTTCGGGCTACAATTAAGAAGTCGATCCGATGTCAACTAATATCCCTAATTCCATCCCACCTACATCCCTAAACATTGATTGACACAAAATTGTGTCCCAACAATTCCTAGTTCATAAAATATATAAAAATTGCTTATCCCTTGGTAAAGAACAGAGAATTTCAGCTTTGAAACTTGTCTGGCCGTCATTAATTTTTGCCATATAATAAGTCTGACATTCGAAGCTACAAACAAACAAACAAAGCAACAAACATACTAAAAAGCACAAAAAATAGAACACAAAGATAAAATGAATACGAACAAGAAAGAAAGCAAATAACAATAATGATACAAAAAATCTTAAAAATGCATTGAAATTTGAAAGCAGAATCATGCACTCTCCAGAGACTCACGCCGTCCATCTCCTTGCGGGTTGCAGTATTTGAAAAGAAAAAAACAAGCACATACAAAATAAAACCTGTTTCCGCTCTCCTGAGAACAGTGTTTCTTAGAAACAACAAACACCGAAACAAGACTGATGAAAGGTGGTAGGAGTTCATTCAGCAGTTGATCGCTTGGAGACTGGGTAGGATGCAATTGATTCAGTTTACGTTTTAGAGGCGGCAAAACCTTCTGGGTCCTTCTGGATTATTTTGGTGTTCACATCACGTCTCCTTGAATCGTCTCCAAACACTCTTACAATGCTAACGACAGACAGGTGTATCTTTTGATTTATTTTATGGGAACGGAGTTTGTGTATATATTCAAATTCTGGCAAACGAAAAGGGATTTTGAAAACCAGGTCTTCCACAAATATTGAGCTGTTCGAGCCTTTTGATAAAATTAGATATGGGATATGTTGAAGACTCATCGACTCAATAACAACAACAAAAAACAGTTATAAGGCAAAGCAAGGTACGATTTGGTGACATTAGTTTGCGAGCTGTTTTATCAGTTTTATTAGGACAATGTGACTTGTCTAATCGCAACACTTTACGACGAAATTCAACTTCCATTAACAAAATATAAAAAATAGATGATAAATAGATATTTTGCAACAATGTACATGCAACGTGTAGGCGGCTCAGTTGGCCGATCAGTTTACATCTCCTGATCACTTCAGTAATACCGGATCTTCTACCTCGCTCTTGCAGTCGCTGCTGTCAACAAGAAGACAGGTGTCAATCACTTTTAACAATGCATAAAGGTTAGTGGCGATGGGCGCGTGCCAAAGAGTGTATGGTCGAACTGTAGCATCACGCGTCTACCTTCTCTACGCAAACTTAAGTGAGGAATTTTCGTAAATAACCATGGTCCTTTTTAGGTAGGTCATCTATTTTGTCATCGAGTCTTTAGAAAAGCAGTTATCCTTCATGTGCTGTTGTTCTTACCTGAGAATTAATTCAGATTTTTGGTCACGTCGAATGTAACTAGCTATCCCAAATGTTTAATTACAGATCAAAGGATTGTCTGCTCTTGCCGCTTCTTCTAGCTATTGGCATTCGTTTCTCAGGTACTGTTGCTTGTGTTAAGTTTACAATATTTAATCAATGTTAACTAGTCTCTGGTAAAAAAAAAAGTATCTTGTCGAGTATGAAGGAAGTCCAACATCTTCCTTGTTCTCAAGCGGGGTCGTGAAATCAACATATTTTGGTATACCATGTTACGACTCGGCTAAGGCCTATTTTCAACAAACAACAATTAATTGTAAGGTTAGAATTTTTACAATTGCTAGCAGTTGTTACTTTTATTTCTGTTGTTCCATCTTTTACGAAACGTGTGACTCAAAGTTATGGTTCGGAATTTGGACGCTATTGAATTTGACTTGAATTTGGCTTTGCGCACGTACCAGGTAGTTGATGTCTATCCCTATTAATGTCCGACGGTGAACATTTTTTGAATGATACCAATCAAACTGGCTTAAGTTCATCTGATGTTATCTTTGAAATATCCATCACTGTTACACATTTGTTTACAAAGAAAT